CACTCATACTAACACAGGCACACTCATACTAACACAGGCACACTCACACTAACACAGGCACACTCACTCATACTAACACAGGCACACTCATACTAACACAGGCACACTCATACTAACACAAGCGCAAGCACACATACAGATAACTAAAAGACACTCAAACAAACAAAACTCCCAAGCCATGCACAAGTGGCCTTCTGGCACTTGCGAGTGTCACTGTGAGCTTGCCTTCCCCTGCTGGCTTAGTCCCTGTAATGCTGCCTGCGACCGCGTGTCAAGCTTATGCCTAGAGCACCTCCTCCGTTGAGTAATTCCCCTAATTTCTGACTGATGGGAAGTCTGGAGCGACCTGACCAGGTATCAGTGACAGCCTTAGGAGTGAGACGGCTCCCTGCTCTCCCCTCCAGCTCAGGCCATCCTCCTCTCCTTGGAGCTGTGTGGACAAATGAAGTGGATTTGATTGTGGTTTCTTTTTTTTTTTTTTTAAATTTACTGTCGACTTAATCTTTATATATATTTATTTATTTATTTTATTGATGAGTACACTGTAGCTGTCTTCAGACACACCAGAAGAGGGCATCCAATCTCATTACGGATGGTTGTGAGCCACCATGTGGTTGCTGGGATTTGAACTCGGGACCTCTGGAAGAGCAGTCAGTGCTCTTAACCGCTGAGCCATCTCTCCAGCCCTTGATTGTGGTTTCTTAAGACAAGAGCATTGGGCACACGGGCTCTAGGTCAGCGGTCCTCAGCCTTCCTGATGCTGGGACCCTTTGATACAGTTCCACATGTCATGGTGACCCCCAACCATAACATTATCTTCATGGCCACATCATAACTATAATCTTGCCACTGTCATGGATCATAATGTACATACCTGTGTTTTCATATGATCTTAGGTGACCCCTGAGAATCATTAGACTCCCAGGGGTGGAGACCCACAGGTTGAGAAGCACTGCTTTAGAGGGCGCTAGACTTTTCTTCCAAGCAGCAGATTCTCAGTAATATTGTGCAGGGACTAAAGAGATGTCGCAGTGGTTAAGAGTACTTGCTGTTCTCCCGGAGGACCCAAGTTCAAGTCCCAGTATCCATTTCAGGTGGCTCACACCTCTAGGGGATTCCAATCCTAAGAGATCTGACCCCTCCAGGGGCATCTGAACTCACACGCCCACATGCAAACAAAGACGCCTAAAAATAACAGACTTGAATATTTTTTTAAAGAACCCATTGCTTGGGGGCTGGGAAGGTGGCTCCTCAGGTAGGGGTACTTGCTGTATAGGCATGAGAATCTGAGATTGAATCTCCGTTACCCGTGTAAAAAGCTGGGTGTGCTCACACATGCACCCGTAACTCCAGTGTTGTGTAGGCAGAGACAGAGAAACTGCTGAGTTTTACCGGCCACTAGCCTAGTCAGTGAGCAATCTCTGTTTTAAGAGAATAAGGCAGAGCGTGGTAGAACATGGGAAGAACATCTCTGGTTTTGTGTGAACACAGACATGCATATCTGCACATACATGTATGCATAACAGACATAAACACACTCAAACACACTCGCAGACCTATACACACAGGCATATAGATACATAGACATACACACACAGATACATAGATACACAGACACACAGACACAGAGATACAGACACACACAGAAAGACACACACACACCCTTTTCTTACTAGACATATACAAGCCATGAAGATAGCATTCAGCTACTGGAACCACCCTGTCCCCGGAAGACTGAGTGTTCCTACTCTATTGAGGGGGGAAGCTGTGTTGGTTTGGGCTATACCAGTGTTGGGCTGTTCCTTAGGTGGCTGGCTGGCTGGAAGTCCTCCGGCTAGTTAAATCCTGTCTCTGGGCTACAGGGTGTAGAGTGAGTCCCACCCAGCGAGGTTGCTCTGAGGCCCATGGGTTGAAGTGTGTTCTTTAAGTGGCAGACCTGTCAGCCCACACAGGCAGCCTTCCCAGTTGACCTGCTGAGGTGACACTGTCACCGTGTCCACTGTGAGGTGCCTGTGGCTGTGAGGAGCTGGTGGCAGGCACTGCTTTTCCCTCATCTGGGAAGTGTCTCATCCTATGTCCGTGTTCCTCTCTGTTCAGGGCATTACAATGTCAATGAGTCCCTGGTAAAGCAGTCGCCAAGGTTCTTAATGTCCTGCTTCAAATCCAAAACTGGCCGTGGATTAAAACCGAACTCAACAGGCCCAGGGCCTGGTTACTACAACCCGAACGATCAAACCAAGATTCTGAAAAAAGCTCATCTCCCGTGAGTCCTGCGTTTTCTTTCTCTGGCAGCTCCAGGGGACCCTTGGAGGGGCAGGATGAGAAGGGCACCACTTAACGGGACTCGGTGCGGGGTGGGATCCTTCCCTTGCCAGCTGCGGAGTCACTGACCTTGTTGCCTAGAGGAAGACTCTTCAGCAAGGTTGAGGAATTTGCCTGAGTCTTCACAGCTCATAGAGAGACCTGGGTTTAGGGCTGCCAGGCTCTTTCGGTGTCCCTCACCATGCTGGCTTCTCCTGGGGGTCATGGCAGTTCTGCTTTTATAATGTGGACTCTTCCCCGTGCTGGGGGAGAGGCAGGAATGGGGGCACATCCCGGAGAGGTACACTGAAGGGGACTGCTGGATTTCACCTTTGGCCCTTGGGCAGTGTGCACTATACTCTGAGCTCCCGTACCTTCATCTGTAGAGTGGAGTGGGTTTAATTCATCCTTACAGGGCTGCTTTCAGAATTAAAAATCTGTCAGGCACAGAGTGGATGCAAATGGTGACTTGCTATTCACACAAAGTTAAAAAGAAACAGAGCTAGGCAGGTTAGTACACACTTGTAATCCTAGCACTTTGGAGGCTGAGGCAGGAGGATTGAGAATTCAAGATCAGTCTGGGTTGCATAGCCAGACCCTGCTTCACCAAAGCAGGGGTGAGAGGCTGAGAGAGACAACCATTTGAATTTTTGTAATTGTTATTTTATGTGTACAAATGTTTTGCCTGCATGTATGTCTGTGCACCGTGTGTCTGCAGTACCCATGGAGACCAAAGGACGGGCAACGGGTCCTCTGGAACTGTAGCTATAGCTGGCTGTAAGCTGCCTTGTGCGTGCTGGGAAACAAACCCAGTCCTCTGCGAGAACAAGTGCTCTTTGCCAGTGGACCCTCTCTCCAGCCTCTCTTACACCATTTCCAGTGTTATTTTCAACTAAGATACTCAGGTATTCGGGGCTTAAGAATTCCTCCAATGGCTGTAGAGTTTCTAGTGCCAGCTGCACAGAAGGTTGATCTTACCGTCAGAGGCCTCTCCTCCTGTCCGAGCCTCTCTTGCTGGTCCAACCTTTGGAAGGGTGACATCAGGGTCAGGGCTGAGTGTGTGGACACCTGAGCCCCTCCCCAGAGGCAAGACTGGTGTCAGGGCCATTACTGCAGTGGGCTAGATACCCAGGCAACTAGTAGGAGGCTGGAAACACTGGGCACCATCTGGCTATCAGCCTGGGGCACAGGGCAGAAAGGCAGGACTCTGTCAAGTCAAATAGGAGCTGGAGAAGAGACTCAGGCTCAGATGGAAGTTCCCTCAGTGCTCCCATTGTGGGATTCTGCAGGCTCCTTCCCAGGGGACCAGGATGGCTGGTTCCCTCCCTAAAGGTCAGGGACTCCTGCCTTCAGGTGGCTTGAGTTCCCTCTGCACACAAACTTTTCCTTAGTCTGTTGGGGAAATGTTGCATTACGGGGTAGGCTTGTGGGCAGAGGATTGTCCCTTATGGAGTCTCCCCGCCTTGCCTCATTGCTGAGCAGAGATGAGGACCTTCTCTGCTGTGGCTCCTGCGAGGTTCAATGAAGCAGAACTTGGAAACAGTTCCTACTTTTTTCCCAGCTGACGCATAAGTATTTGCGGAGATCGCGTGATATTTTGATGCATTACCTAATGTTCAAACTGGGAGAAGCATCTGTCACCCCAGACATCTGGCTGTCAGTCATTACAACAGAGATTAGGCTGTATGCTGCCAAAATAGGACTCAGCTGCCATTTGGCATGGTGGCCCAAACCCACAGCCGGGATCTGGAAGCTTCAGTGAGAAGGAGCTACCCCTGAGCTCTCCAGAATGGTGGCTGTAGGGCAGTGCCACCCCAGAGGCTGCCACTTGTGCCTCATGAAACATGGCTGAGGAGCGTGGTGTGGGTGTTCTCGGCCTTCGGCTGCCCAGCTGACTCAGAGCCAAGAGGATTTGTTGTTGTGTGGGTTGTCTTAGGTTGTGAAGCGAGAGCCAGGCAGTGGTGGCGCACTCTTTTAATCCCAGCTCTCTGGAGGCTGAGGTAGGCAGATCTCTGAGTTTGAGGCCAGCCTGGTCTACAGAGTGAGTTCCAGGACAGCCGGGGCTACACAGAGAAACTCTGTCTCGAAAAGCAGTGGTCAGCCAGCGCTTCACTTCTGGAGTTCCTCAGTCCCCATCCTGGGGACGTGACTCTGTGAGGCGGGGCAGGGGAAGCCTTTGAGGTCGGGATGGGGTCCTTCTAGTGCTCTTGCTGCCAGGCAGAGGAATCCCCAGAGACTCCTCTCTGACCACTTCCTGGAGTCTCTAATTCCGGGCTTTGCACAGTATGCTGTCCTGTCAAGGGTAGTTCGAGAATCAAGCTCCTTGGCCAGTCTCCAGTTCAGTAATTATGCTAGGCCAGTTACGACTGGGCCCATCTTAGATTCCCTGGGGAATGGGGGTTGTCACTCACTGTGGGATGCATCCTCCCAGGATCTGTCACTGCCCAGCCCTGCAGAACAGATACTGCATTCCACCCCAGAGGCAATCGGCCTCCCTTTCATGTGGAGAAGAATTGTTAGAAATTGCCCCTTTATCCCTCCCAAACCTGAGAATCCCCGAGGCAGAGAACCTGTGTCTGGGAGTGTCCCAGGGGTCTGAGGTACCTTCTCCAAGTGACCTGCTGTGACCTTGAAGACATCTATTATCTCTGGGCCTTTGACAGAGGGGTCCCTTGGAAACCAGAGTGTGCTCAATCCTGCTGTGGCTCCTGGGAGAGTTTCATAGATGTTTTCAGTCATTACTAAGCCATGAAATCCATCAAAGCCCGGTCACACTGCATTGCTAGCCACCCTGGGTATGGCCACGGGAGCTCAGTAATTTCACAACTGCTCCTCACCACCGGGAGCCAGCTGTGTGTGGGGGGGGTGATGGAGGGAGGAGCCAGCTGTGGGGGGTGATGGAGGGGGGAGCCAGCTGTGGGGGGTGATGGAAGGGGGAGCCAGCTGTGGGGGGTGATGGAGGGGGAGCCAGCTGTGGGTGGGGTATGATGAAGGGAAGATCACCTTCTTTGCACCCCTCCCCCAGGGGTCCTGACACAGGAAAAGAGGACAGTGTCTGACTTCAGCTTTTTATTCCTCCATCATTTCTGGGTTGTTCTCTCATTTCTTACCATCCTTCCCCCAATCTCCTCCCCGCCCAGGCCCAGTGTAAAGTTAAAGGGAGCTCTCTTATTGGCTTTTCAGTCACATTTGCCTCCCAGAAAGACCCAGAATAACACTGCTTCCAGCCTGCTCCTCCTTCCTGAAGGAGCAGTGTCCCTATTCACTCTGCTCCACTCTACACACACACACACACACACACACACACACATGCACACACGCATGCACACACACACATAGAGACACATCCACACAGACACATATATACACACAAGTATACACACACATACCCAAATAAATGAACACATATACACACACATATACACATATATACACAGACACACATATACACACATACACATAGAGACACATACACACAGACACACATATATACACACAAATATACACACACATATACACACAGACACATATATACACAGACATACAGATATACACACTCCACCTACACACAGACACATACATAACTCCACACATATAGATGCATACGCACAGGCACATATATACACATACACACACCTCACCCACACACATACATATATAACCTCCCCACAGACACATACATACATGCTCATACATGCATATACATATACACAAATATACACATACACTCACACATGCCATCCATGCATACACACACATGAACACGCGTGCGCACACACACACTTTCTACTTGCTTCATGCTTTAGGGGAGATGATTTTGCCTTACAGAGCTTTGAGGCACCTAGCCCCATGCTGAACTACAGAGAAAAGTCGGGTAGGTCTTCCTAAAGCCAGGCCTTCTGTGTGGAGCGGACAGGTACATACTACCTCCTTCCCGTGGATATCTTTGTTCTAATATAAACATTCAAGCCAGCTGTTGGAAAGCTGGAGCCTCAGGCAGAGTGAGGTGGCTTACCATGGCCTCCCTAGCAGTGGGCAGTTCCCCACACAGCAGAGGGGCCCTCATGTGAGCGCTGAACACGCACTGGCTCATTGAGAGATGCTTCACACATTCTCTGTTGTTTCTATGGTTCCCTATAAACAGCAGGGGTTCTCAATTCCTGCTTCAGATTCAGGTCTTTGTCCAGGACCCCACAGCCAGTCAGTGGCATGACTAGAATTCAGACTCCTTGTGGGTGACCCTGAAACCTAGACACCTCTGTCATGGCGCTTCTCCAAATTGCTGGGACTAAGGGGCTAGTGCCACAAAGCCACATCCTTGTAATGGGCTCTGACTGTACACGGGCTCCAGTTTCTCTGGATATTAGCTCTCTCAGCAAATAAGGAGGTTCACTAGACAGCTCTGGGTATCCTGGCTCACTGGAGTTCCACAGGTCAGCAGGACTCCCGCACTGCTTTCTGGCACAGTGGCCCTTCCAGGAGAAAGTTCAGGTATGAGGCGTTTCCTGGACAGTGGCTTGACTCCCCAGATAGCCCCAGGACACCCGGTAACCATTATACTGTGGGTTGTAGTGTGAGAACAGTTCTCAAAGGCTCTCTTGTTAAGCTCCACCAGCTTATAAACGGTCTACCAGAATTGTTAAGTGGGCTTGGACTCCAGCATGGGTTAGTTTAGCTTTATTTAATGACTTAATGGCAAAGATGTTATACAAAATAGACTCCCTTTCCAGAAGGAAAGATGGCAGTCTGAAAAAGTTACAATACAAGCAGGGAGTACCTTGTTCTAGATCCCCAGCCCAGTACCTTTCCACTCCAGCCTCCAGTCTTAAAGGGAAAGGAGAGAGCAGGGTTCTGGAATGTCAGTAGAAATCTGCTCATTGTAGACCATCAAATCCCTGGAAGGAAAGATAGGGCTTCCTCCTCCCTGACTATGCAGACATCACAAGTGGCTCATCAAAGACTCTTTCTCACCCAGGCATCAGTTCTCAGAGCTCCAGCCAGACTAAAGCAATTAACCACAGACAGCACATACAGTCAATGCTACCTGCTTATCCCAATGAGCTCAGCAACAGATGTCTGGGACAGAAGTGTGTCTGTGCTCTTGCTGTCCCGGGACCATGGTTCAGATACTACACCTCATTTAATCCAGGCAAGCCTGTGTGGTTTGGTTACCATTGTGCAGATGAGGATACTGAAGCCCAGAGGTCCTGGGCTCATAAGCAACTGAGCTAGGATACTGCCCAAAGTGAACCCCTCATAGACCCTTGGGGGACCCCTGGTGTTGCCTGTGCTTTACAGACACTACTGTTTCTCCCACGAGGCTGCTGTGGTGACACCTTCCCATTTTGTCTTTTCCAAAGGAAAACTACGCTCCTGAACTTTTCCGCCCACCCTCTGCCTTTGCCCCCAAAGCCGCCTCTGCCTGGTCCTGGTCAGTATGAGATCGTGAACTACGAGGGACCCCCCAAGCACTTCATCTCCAGTGCATCGTTCGTGTCCAACACCAGCCGGTGGCCACTGAAGTCATCCAAACCAAACTTTCCTGGCCCAGGTCAGAGAACTGAGACCCCAACTCTTCCACAACACTCTGTTAGTCTGAGGCCATCAAATCCCGCCAGTTTACGGGCTGTTTGCTAAACAAGTTCCAAGGGTGAGGTGGGTTTAGCAGGTCATTGGCTCACAGTTCAGAATACTAAACTGTTTTGTTTCTGAATGGAAAGGGAACTTTGGATTTAAAACCATGGCTGGGATGTGCAAGAGCTCAGAGCTTCGGGGTGGTTGTGACTGTTCTAGCTAAGGTGTGCACCTCACAGACTTCCCTTCCCTCTCTCATCCCCTTCCCTTCCCTCCTCTCCCCTTCCCTCTTCTCATCCCTCCTTCTATCTCGTGTGTGTGTGTGTGTGTGTGTGTGTGTGTGCACGTGCTTGTGTGCGTACATGCACTCTCATGCCATGACCCATATGGATGTCAGAGGACAACTTGTGGACCCCAGGATTGGACTCAGGCTGTCAGGCTTAGGTGAGCGAGTCATCTCAAAACCTTTCTGTTTTATTTTTTGGACACAAGGTCTCTACCTGAAGCCAAAGCAGATTGGTTCTACTAGGCAGATGGCCAGTGAGCTTCAGGGATCTGCCTGTCTTCGTCCACCAGTGTTAGGGTTACAGGCGCATGCCCATGACCCTGGCTTTTCCCTGGGCTCCAGGTTGCTGGAGTCAGGACCTCAGGCTTGTGTGGCCGTCTTTACTGAGCCGCCTTTCGAGCCCCACTGTTTTAGAAGGAAATAGTCACAGCATTGATAAAGTTCTCAGAAACCTCCTTATTCTTAAAGATATTTAAGCCTCTAGGCTAGACTGGCCAAGGAATTTTAAAGACAGATAAGGCCTGAAGGGTAAGCTGCCTTCTGCTCGGGACATTTGTGGTGGGGTTGAGAGGTGGAGTCTTGTCTTAGTGTTTCATTGTTGTGAAGGGACACCATGACTAAGGCAACTCTTATAAAGGACACGATTTAATCAGGACTAGCTTACAGTTTTAGAAGTTCAGTCTGTTATCATCATGGTGGGAAGCATGGCAGCATCCAGGCAGACATGGTGCTGGAGAAACCAAGAGGAACATCTTGACCCGAAGGCAGCCAGGAGGACGTTCCGATTTCACTCTGGGCGGAACTTAAGCATAGGAGACCTTAAAGTTGTCCTCCAACAAGGCCACACCTCCTAAAAGTGCCACTCCCTATGGCCAAGCACTGAAACAGATGAATTTATGGGGGTCAAACCTATTCAAAGCACCACAGGTCTCTTGCTGCTTATGCCTTGTTTGAGATGGACACAAGAGCCGATCTGAGGGAGTGGCTCTCTGATGCCACCTAGCTCCTCCCTCCCTCCCCATGAGCTGAGCAGATCTTCCTGAGAGTTAGCATCCTAAGGGGTCCGCTCCATCAAGATGGACAGTTTCCTATCCCTAGAGGCTCGCTCCACAGTGATGGATGGTCTCTGGGTGTCCCCATCTGTCTGCAGCTCTCTAAAGCTCTCCTTACGGCTCCCTGACAACAGCAAGAGCTGTTGGCATGTGCCATGTGCACAGGGACGAGAAGGCTGAATGAACAGGGCAGCCACCTTGTCTTACACACTCAGCCTTTTGGTAAGCACTGATGGGCAGCCCTGGAGGGTATCTGTTCAGGACAGGAGACTAGCATCTAACACAGGAGTTCTGGAGGCCCAGGGATGGTTGGAGCTTCATGTCAAGCTGTTTTACTGGGTCCTCTTAGAACGGTGTCTGAGAAGGATACACATGAAAGATTCCTGAAGCATGGATCCCAACAGGCCACTCCTCCTGCTGTGGTCACCTCCATCACAATAGCCCCAGGGTATGCTGGGAGGATACACGACCTGTCTGTGGTGGTGCCTCTAGCAGGCACAGGTCTGCCTCGACCATGACCTCCCCTCTGTAGCTTCCTGATAGGACATGGGAGAGATTCTGTCACTGTGCCTCACAAGGCTTGTTTGCTAGAGATATAGGTCCGTGATGGGCATAGCGTTCAGTTTTTCTGGAAACAGTTGAACTAACAGAAAACTCTACCAACTTAAACCCCCCTTCTTTAAGATACCGTTTGACATGAAGTGCCCATTTTACATCTTCTAGAAAGTGATCTTGTAAATAAAGTTAATTCTGTTAAGGAAGTATACAAAGAGTTAAAGAGTACCAGAAGCCACAGTCCAGAGGCCAGTCTTGGTCAGCTAAGAGCCATGTCACAGGGCCAGGGAGATGGCCTGGTAGGTCAAGTGCTTACCGTATAAGCGTGAGGACCAGGCTTGGATCCCCGGCTCCCATGCAAAAGCCAAAGTTCATGGTGATGAGGACGGAGGCAGACGGAGCCTTGACGAGAGACCGTATCCTAAAATAAAGAAAACGTGGAGAGGGACGATAGAGAAAGACATCCAAAGGTGACCTCTGCCTCTGCCCCCTTTAAAAATAAAATAATAGTCAGGCAACACAAAGCCAGTTGCTTCCTCTCCCTGTCTCTAGACACATAGGCTGCAGGGCAGGAGGAGGGTGAGGGAGCCCTTCCCAGCTCTGATCAGCCCTTCTGGTCACTTCTCTCTCTTTCTTTCTCTCCCTTCAGCCACATACAAGCCAGAGATTCCCGGGAAGCAGTCCTTCCTCTACAACGAGGACAACAAATGGATCCCTGCAGTCTAGTGATACCACAAGAGCAGTGGGAGAGAGAGGCTCAGCCCACCAGGCCCCCTGACCCTGCTCCCCAGGATGTCTTTCAACAGAACATGCCTTTCCTCTGCATCATCCAGCCCAGGGTCACATACTGTCTGGAGCTACCTTCTGGAGACTGGCCACCCCTGCCCCTCCCATGATGCCCCTCACTGCAAGCAGTGCTCCCTGGCTACCTCCGTGCCAGTCTCCAAGCTGGTTCTGGTGACTCTCCTTTCCAGAGATAAGGACTCTTGGAAATCTTGCATCGACTCTAATATGGAGTCACAGTCTCCTGCCAAGGCAGCCTGTGGTAAAGTCAGCCAGGGTGCTGAGGCTCTGTCCTCTAGATTGTCCTTGTCTTCTGGGTAGCAGGAAGGCTCGCTCAGAGGTGCCTGAAGCAGAGGCACAGGGATGTTCCCTGGGCACTCCTGCCCTCAGCTATGCCTGGTTATTACACAGCAAGAACATGGAAAGTAGTCATGAATCACTCACCACGCCATGGACTTACAGTCATCAGCAGACGAGGCAGAACCTCTAGCTGGAGCTAGAGGCCTGGAACCACAGTCCCCGGGGCAGGGAGGACCTCTGGGTCCCCTGTCTTCATGTTCTCACTTCCCAAACCTTACCTCTGCCCAGTCTCTGTCGCCTTCCTGTCTTCCCACTCCGATTCTGAGTAGGCGGCGGTTACTAAGTTGGATGGTGTCCCTGACAGATCATGGCTTGCCTGCAATGGCTAAAGAGAGCTGACCAAGAACCGAGATGAAATGTGCCCCTTCCCCCTCCCGCTCCTCCCACCCCTTCCATCCTTTCCTGTCCCAGACATTGACAAATGTCCACTGCTTTCCTAAATGGGATCTTCATAGGCTGCCCTTCCCTCCTCCAGCGCCCCCATTTCCTTCCACAACGACTGCCTGGGCTCCTTTCTTCCCAAGGCCCCTTCCTTGACATTTTCTGAGAACTCTGCCTCCTGGGCTTCCCATCTGGACTGGCTGCCTGACTGGCTCTCTTCCTGGGGGTGGGGGGGGAGGACATGAGAAAGAGGATGGGGAGAGATGAAGAAACATGTTCAATTAAATGGAATTCTTGCTTCTCACAGAAGCTGGGCTCTTTGTAATCTTCAGATTCCAGCAAGCCAGGGCTTTGGAATGGTGATTTAGCCTGGTGTACCCTGGGAAGCATAAGGGATTCTGAGCTTGGGCTCCTGCTCTGATCCTTGGCTCTCCTCTGTGAACAGAACTCCATTGGAATCAGGACTTCAAAATCTATACCTTCAGGTCTTATGGTGTGTGAGTGGAATTGGTCAGGTGTGAGCTAAGTCACACCTAACATGCTAGCATCCAGCACACTAATGGGTGTCGGAGTCACAGGAGTTTTAAGAGTGCCTGTCTGTTTTTGACATGATATCTCTAAGGATGGCTGCAGTTGACTATAGACTTTATTAAAGAGGACACTCTTGAGTGGGCTTTCTACTTCTATGTTAGATGTTCTGGAAGACTTTTCAGAGCTGACATTCAGAATCTGAAGATGCCTTGTGTGCCTGGCCACAGATTCTTGACAGCAGGGCCATATCTAAAGTGATCTAGGATCAGGGGATCCCACCCAGGTCCCTCGGATCCAGGTTTAGTGCATGGAGTCCCCTAGTCCTGGGTATGTCAGGTGGAGACTGATAATGTACAGGAAGTCACGTCAGGCCTCTTCAGACATCATGATGCTCCACCAAGTGACAAGGAAACAGGCCACTCCAAGGGGGTGAGAGAACGGGCTGACAGGACCTGCCAGCATTCACCATTGGTGCCGAGGCTGGGCTGAGGCCCTAAGCTCAGATGGTCCATGTGACAGTCTTCAGACATCCAGAAGATGTCCTAGGCTGGTCAGGATTCTGTCTCAACCTTCAGACGGACGGTTGGCTTACGTAGGAGCAGATAGAGTTCTAACACCAAGATCACACTAAGCTTGAATCCCAGAGTTCTGCCTTAATCGATTTGGGGCATAGGATCAGCTTCTTTTCCCGTCAGTTGACAAGATTATCTGACAGAGGGAACTTGTAGGAGGAAGGGCGAATCTGGGCTCAGAGTGTGAGGGCACAGCCCACCAGGGTGGGAACCACGTATGGTTGGGACAGCTCAGGATGTGTTAGCAGGGCTGAGCACAAGATGGCTAAGGTAAGGATGCTAAGGATGGCACCGGAGCAGAGAGGCGGGAATGCTGGCCCCCAGCTGGCTTTCTCCTCCTTTCTTATTCTGTCTGGTCCCCCAGTCCATGGGATGGTGCCATCGCATTCAGGATGAGTCTTCCATCTTCAGCTCAAGCCTCACAGACACGCTTGAACTGTCTGTGTTCTTAAAGCTGTTAGTTGTTGTTGTTCTTTTGGTTTTTTTTTTTTTTTTTTTTTTTGTATTTGGTTTTGATTTTCTAATACAAGGCCTCCCTCTGTAGTCCAGCTATCCTTGAACTCCAGAGCCTCTTGCCGCCGTAAGCATCCGAGTGCTGGGATTACAGCCCTGCAGCAACATTGCTGATCTATAAAGTCTTGTGTGGGGCTGGGATGGAGAGCAAGCCAGAACTGGGATGCACAGCTCTTTCATCAAAGTGCTTCCCAGCCGGGCGGTGGTGGCACACGCCTTTAATCCCAGCACTTGGGAGGCAGAGGCAGGTGGATTTCTGAGTTCGAGGCCAGCCTGGTCTACAGAGTGAGTTCCAGGACAGCCAGGGCTACACAGAGAAACCCTGTCTCGAAAAACAAAAAAAAAAACAAAACAACAACAACAACAAAAACAACAAAGTGCTTCCCAAATGATAATGCACACAATCCCTTGGGTAGTGTTAGAACATTGACATCATGGGTCTGGGGCGGGCCAGAGAGACTGCACTCACACATGCCTGCCTCAGGTGAAGTCAGTGCCTCAAGCTTAGGGAGCCGTGCTTACAGTAGCCGGGTCTGTTCACTCAGCTCTTCATCTTGCTTATCTCACGTGTTCATCCTTTCGTTAATTTCTCCCCTTCCCTCTCCTCATTCCTGAGAAAACGCTTCCATAAAACTCAGGCTGCGGGCAAGCCTGCAGGGCATTTTCTTAATTAGTGATTGATGTGGGAAGGTCCAGCTCAGTGTGGGTGGGGCCATCCCTGGACTGGTGAGCTTGGGTTCTATAAGAAAGCAAGGTGAGCAAACCGTGGAGAACAAGCCAGTAAGCAGCACCCCTCCATGGCCTCTGCATCAGCTGCCTCCAGTTGCCTGCAGACAGGTAGTGTTCTTCCCACTGGCAACAGCTGCCCTCTGAAAGTGAAAGCTGTAGAAACCTGGCCCACCTCATTCTGCCTAGTTTCTCAGTTCAGGAAGTGAATGGCGGTCTTACAATTGGCACCCTGTCCCCCACCGCCCAACTTTCTTGAAGAGCAGGGCTGATCTTTTCAAAGCTGGTAGAGTGTTGTCCTTGGGGACTCAGTAGCTTTTGTGGTTTGAGAACCCTCAGTTCTGTCCAGGTGTCTTGCTGGAAGCTTCCAGTACCTGTCCTATGCTTTGCAGCAGGTGTGTTCCAAGGCTGCCGATTCTGCTGTGCGCAGGTGGCAGCCACAGAGACCCAAAGGCATCAATGCCTCTTTGGAACAGTGACCCTTAGCCTTGATTGCACCCACACTCTCATCACCTAGGGAGCTTCAAAAGGTGCCATTGCCTGGGCTTTGATCCAGAAGGCTGATTTAGATTCGAGGGCAGGGTAGAGGCTGCCCAAATGATTCCAATATGCCAGTGAGGTCAGCAGCGCCCCCTTGCCCTGCCTAGGTTTCCTCTTGCTCTGGGCAGAAACGGCTACAGGAAGTTAGGAGTCCTGCATGTGCTTGGCACTATCAGCTACTTTCTTCTCCTGTCATGTCACCTTCATACGTGACTCTGCTCTGATGCGTAGTGTGGTGTCCCTGACTGGGAGGATGCAGCCCTAATGCTGCAGGGTCCCTTGAGCAGGGCACACCAACCATGTTGAAGGAGGAGGAAGCATTAGTACTGCAGAGTCTGTCTTTAGAATCCTGAGATTTTGTTCATCGGGATCTTCAGCCTGAATGTTCAAAAGCTTTTAGATTGGGATTGGTCGTGTGTGTTCACCCTCCTAGTGCTATGGGCAGTGAGTTTAAGAGGAGCTTGAACCATACAGTGAGGCCCTGTCTAATAACAAAAGAGTAACTGTCTCCCCAGTGTGTTAACCGATTACCTAACTGCATTGCTGAGTCCTTTGGCATCCTGTCCTTGATGCCCGAGGCCAGCTCCTCGATTGGGTAGCCTGCATCCCAGTGCTGACTGTAGGTAGGGCTTGTGATATCTGACCGTGGAGTCTGTTGGAATTGTGAGTTCTTTTTTTTTTTTTTTTTTTTGACTAAGCCTTAATTTTTATTACTTAAAAAATGCATATTTATTTTGCTTTCTGACTCTGTGCTTGTGCCTTCAACACTTTCACAACGATTTTCTGCTCCTCAATAAGGAAAGCCTGCTTGATCCTGTCGCGGACACACTTAGCGCACATGGAGCCACCATAGGCCCTGCTGACATGCTTCTTTGTCTTAGACAATCTCATAAGGACTTTGGGTCTCACATCACGAACCCCTCGAAGTCTGCCTGGGCACACACCACATGCGGATTTAGGTGCCTTCCCAACCTTCTTGGTGTAAAGGTAAACAATCCTGTTGCCAGGGGTTCAAGACAGCCTAGTTTTGTTAGAGGCTGTGTTGTAGGAAAGCCTACAGTATGTCAAACGCTGGACCACCTTGAGTGCCTCTAAGCACCGTCTCCGGAAGAGGAAAAGGAAGGGGTGGGCGAATTCAAAGGTCAAATGTGACCACGCTGGACAGGAAGTACATCAGAGAAAAGGAATTGCGAGTTCTTAAGGAATGGATCTTGGTTCTTAAACTTTAAAAACAAACCAACAAGGCCTGGTGGTGGTGGCGCACGCCTTTAATCCCAGCACTTGGGAGGCAGAGGCAGGCGGATTTCTGAGTTCGAGGCCAGCCTGGTCTACAGAGTGAGTTCCAGGACAGCCAGGGCTACACAGAGAAACCCTGTCTTGAAAAACCAAAAAACAAACAAACCAACAAACAAAAAAGTACACTAACGTTGTACAAAGACACCCATGCAGGCAAAACACCCATACGTATAAAATTTTTAAAAAGTCTTGTTCAGACAGTAGTAAAAAAATCTAATTCATAGGAAGCAGAGCTTCTGGGACCAAAGGCAGGGTGCTGACCTTCCCCACAGCCTGGATCTTTGAGACTCACTGGAGAGCCTGAGGCTCTGAGGGACACTGAGACCAGTGGGGACCACACTACATTTTATCCTAAGGAAATGGAGTAGATACAGCTGTAGAATGAAAGGAAAGGAGAGCGGGAGGGAGGCAGGAAGGCTGTCCTTTCGATCTGTTCCTAGGAGGATTCAAGGCTTGGTTTGAACTTGCCCCCTCCCCAGAGGCCTAGACGCTGGCATGTGACTCTGTACAAGATACCAATATGATGTCACTACTGTACAGTTGGGAAGTGGTGTGTGTTGCCTTTGGGGACAGTTTGGGTTGAATCCAGAGAAAGGGTTAGCCTGAGAAGTAGGGGCAGAGTTGGTCCAGGTCTCGGTCGCATGGGTCCCAGCTTTGGGCTCTGTCCACTGGGCTAGCTATGAGGGACTCGTCAATGCCATTATGAGCCTTCGCAGGCCTTGCTTTCGTCATCGAGGACCCTCTTCGTGACTCTTGGGAGACCACATGTGGATTCTATGGCCTGTCAGGGTGAATCCGTCATGCCCGTTGCCAGCCTTCACATCTAAAGAAGCCCTTAGGACAAGGCCACAGTGAAGAGAGAAAGAGGAAGGGCCTCCTCCACTTCTGGGTCTTTGAGCCCCACTGGAGTCTCACAGAAGGAAAGAGCTCATGAAAGCTGGAGGAGTGTGCACAGGTAGGCTTTTATTACTAAATCCTATGATATACAAAATGCATAGTTGAATAACAGCTAAAAAAATAGTTCAAGAAATATGAAATACATATTTTTGAAATGATAAAAATGTAACACGAACATACAAAATATTGCATATATGTACACAATATATACTTATATATATATATATATCACATGATGAAAACTGTAAATAAGAAATGTGTACAACAGTAGGCGGCAGGGGGATTTGTTCTTGTCAGCTCAATGATGGTGACTTACGTCTTGTACCAAGGAAG